TTAGTCCCTACCTAAAACATGCTTGCCCGGTCATATCACAAGCCAACCAGGCAATGCTATCATAGTGTGCACCAAGAAATCACCTCATTGAATCTCGCCCTTCCAATGAAACCGCTCCTCCTCGCTGGACTATGGGCACACTACAAACGGTAACTCCACAAATCCCAAATGATATACAAACTGAGTCTGATACAACTTTGCTTGTTTTCTCATCCTGAGCAGGCCTAACTCCTTCTTCAGATTAAACCCAGAGTATCATTTTTCACTGGTAGGCCAAGTTCAATGTTCCGAAGCGTCCGGGGGCCCCATAGGGACGGCGGGGATATTGCCTAGAAGACGGGACGGGACGGGACCACTAGACATGGTCCTGTGTAGGGCAAAATATGTAGGGGACTACTGGGCCGAGCCGGGACCGCCGGGCCCGACATGCTATGCCCTTATCAGTGTCGTGAGACACACGGGACAGCCGCTGCTTAGGCGAACGGCAGGGGAGATGGCAGGATGGTCTGGATTGTGCGGGGGACTATTGTGGGTATCAGAAGATGGTAGGATGTAGGAAAGGACTGTAGGGTATAGGGATGGACTGCGGGGGGTGGCTGTAGATGGTAGGTATTAGGAATGATGGCCGGACATAAGTGAGGAAGATGAGGAGGACGGCCGGGGGTGGCTCATGACTTCTAGGAACTGCAGACAAAATATGTGTGATATATAATGATGCCAGGTAACCGACACAGTAAAAGATATGCGCGCAAGAAAGAGAAGAAGGTTAAATATATCATCATGTGATCCGAGTATTAAGATAAGACTGAACCAATTCATCCTTCTACGAGCCTTATTTTCTCTTTCTAATACTTCTATAAATCATTCGATTTAACAATATTGGTGATGCCGCAGCAAAGCTGAAGAACTGATGCGACAAAAGTTCACTCTCACCAGAATGCCTGAGATTTTCCTGAAGAGTAACCGGGAAACTCAATTGACCTTCTTGGATCCGGAAATTTAAGGGATTGAGGATATGCTTGCCGCATTACCGATTCATGCCGGCGGCCCCCGAGTGCTAGTTTGACAAAAGGCTTTGGACTGTTTTATTTCTTAAAAATGAATTCTTCCTGGCTTATCAGTTTAGGCACATGGCAAATGATTGGCAGGATTGCAAACCATGAGTGGGATGAAAGTATGAACTTGAAGTATCTGAGCATCCTAGCCCACAAGAAGTAATAGAAAAACTACCCAGGACCCTATCGGGTCCGATAGGGCATCCCACCCATCTTCCGTCTGCCCTAGTCCGTCCATGGACTATGACAAGCCCGGAGAAGAAACGAGTGTGGAGTAGGGTAATAGCGTCTAAATTTATTATAAGTTGTTGGGTATGAGAAGGCCTACATCCAAACTACCATTCAATCACGCTGTAACTTAGGTATTTCTGCTCATAGTATCTCCTTCCTCACCCCCCCCCCCCCGCCCCAGCCCCCCTCGGTAAGAACAGCCCCCCTAAGTTCGCCCTTGAAAGCCCTCCCGGCAGCCTGAGTAGAAAACATATAGATATCATACAGGGGTAGGGTCAAGTGTCGCTACAGGTTGCCCACCGGTATTCGGAACGACGGGAATTGAAAGAATCTGTCTGGTGAGGTGAGTAACCAATGTAGCAGATTGGACCCTTGTGAGGGAGTTCGGGGGTCGTGGGGTTCTCTTGGGACGGTAAAGGACTTGGCTATGTGAGGCCCAAGGGCCAGACGCCCGGCGGACTGGGAAAGAGGGGGAGTGCGCTGTCTCTACCCTAGTTAGTCCTTCTGCATAATCACTCATAATTAGAAGCCCGAAGAAAAGGGCAAAAAAGTAGTAGACTGCGCCTGATAGAAAATCGCTGATGGGGACGGCAATCTCGAGAGAGGCAAAGAGGGGGGAAACGCGAAAGAAGAAAATTATGAGATGATCGAAACAGGGCAAAATGGTCAGCTCCATAGAGGTTAACGAACCCTCCCATTTTGAATAGATAAATAAGTTGGCGGGGGGAAGAGGTGCTTTTACGAGCAGGGCAAGGAACCTGAAAGGATATCTGCGGACGTGCCGCAGAAATATAGACACCCCAACGACTAACGAGGAAGCACCGTGCATGGGCTGCGGGGAATGAGGGAAGAGGAGGAAAGAGAAGAGAAGACAATAGCTTAAAGCTCTATCTAGAGTCCTGAAAGCCCCACCCCCCCCTATTCCCCGGATTGAGCCAGGTGAGCGGCAGGCTCTAGTCGGCCTCTATTGTATACTACAACACCCGAGAGTATCCATAAGAAAGACTAGACCCCTTGTAGGCCGAGTAGCGAGAAACGCAGGCGATGTCCGTTAGCATACCGGTACATAAAGTTCATCGCAGCCCCATGCCGTAAGGCTGCGCATGGTCAGGGAAGCGGTCGGCGGGAAGTTGTGGTGTTCGTGACAGGACAAATGTGAGATGTGGGACTGGAATAGAGGGTAACTCCGGGGTGGGAGCAAAAACAGATAAGAAGGTGGGCCGGTACCAGCAAGATGCTTGATCACGGCACCTAGATGGAGCAATGCACATAGGACCCCACCCCAGAACCCTGTCATCCTGTGGACCGGGTACATTTTCATTCGGATAAGGCGCGCAGTAGGGAGGATTCGGAGGTTAACCGATATCTGCATACCGCAAACTTGCTGAGAAGGCCAGGAAGCCGGGTATGAATATCATGTAGCAGACGGCGGAATGCGATCGGAAGAGGTAGGGGCCGAACGCGAATGAGCGAAAGTAAAGAGCGGTGGGGGAGACGGGGAACCTGATAGGAACAGAAGTAATGGAGGTCAGGTGCGATATCGAGGGCCGAGTGCGATAAGTGAGGTTGGGACTGGAAACGGTAGCTGTCTTACCGGCACGCTCGACTGTATCGAAGTGACTCCGAAGCTAGAAGTAGGTAGAAGTCGTCTTTAATATTATTGGCAAGTGGTAATACAAGGTGAATGTGTGCAACAAGAAAAAAATTGAAGGCCGAAGACAACGCTCAGGAAAGTGGTTCCTCATAGTTGCTGCCGCGTGTCGTTCATCGCCCCGAATATCCGGCCCCATACTTGATGTTTTCATATCTTCGATGGGGCTTTGAGGTAGGGAGGGTGGGCGGAGGGTAGATGGGAAATTCTCGGGGGGGCACGACCGGGTGCGGAACAGTTGGGTACTCGAGTATGGGTACAGGTACAAGTACGCGTAGAGAGAGGATTGAAAGGGGAGTGTGAGAATTTTACGCTTTGTGGGAAAAGCTATTCCGCTTTAGGGACTATGAATGACTCATCCGCTGTCGCGGGTCAGCTCATACTTTATCTCAACAGAATAGCGTTCCGCGCTCCCCAGTTATTGCGGGATTGGCGGCCACTAATTACCAGGTAGAGAATGCAGCATGGACAGCATAACCACATCTGGCGGTTGAACCAGTATCGGGACTCTTGGCGCTTTGTGGACTTAACTTGCGCCAAGATCCCTGGATACTTGTGGAATTGCCAAGTACTCGTACTCGAGCATCCGAGCCAAGAATGGGCGCCACTCTCGGAATAGCGCTCCCTAACCTGTGGAAAATAGTGTTGATACTGCTTTTTAAGTAGTGCATATGTGGCCGCTACAACATACAATATCTATCATGAACCCTCGTACAAACATTTCCACTATTATACTAAGTCCGATACATTTATGAAGTGCAATAATTGCTCCTTTCGTAGTGCTCATAAGACTTTTTCCCTTCATTGCGCTATTCTGAGTGTTAACCTTGAAGTTTAAATTAATCACAGGCACATACTTACCTTCAGGATCTTTATCTATTCGTCCAATTCAATGATCTAAAGTCTTCTTGAGTATTGAGAATATGGTCTCACATATGATATCATTCTCACCAGGTGCCAGCATTTTGCCCTATCATCTGAGTTGCTCAAACAGTGCAGCCACTATCTTTTATGGGTCTCCGGGAGCTATTTCCTAAAGAGGCGACCATTCTTGGCTCGGACGCACAAGTACTGTACCGTACGGTACTCAAGTAATGGTTGGCTAGCAGATTTGCCGACAGCGACCGGACATGCAGCTGCCGTTCCTGTGGGTAAGCGCTGGAATTTTGGCGCCCCCGCTCACGGAGAACTTAAAAGCCATTGCCCTCCAAAGAAAACCGCCCCCCCCGACTAGCTGCTGTTTTCCACTATATCTTTGAATCCGCAGTCGGAAAGCATAATTCAAACGAATCTAAAGCTTGAAGGCCTACCTAGCCCAAGAGTAAACACCAGCTTTTTTCTTATCTTTCACATCTAATAAACAGCAAGTTATCAGAGCCACACTTTTTGAGTTTCACCTCTTTTTAGCTCACAACATTCCTGAGAATCCGAAATGGCAGAGCCCTTCTCCATCGCTGCCAGCGGCATAGCTCTCATTCACCTCAGCGCGAAGGTTTTCGAACTTTGCCATAACTACTACAATACAGTGGAGGGGAGCCCACAAGATATCAAGAAATTAGGCGACGAGATCAAGAGTATCCATCAACAGCTTGAGGAAATCCGAAGCCTTGCCGCCGGAGACGATGAAAACAACCCACAATACCCTAGCCTTCTCGAATGGGTAAAAAACGAAAGCTTAAAGGATTACATGACCGCCCTGGGGGAGCTGCAGAAAAAGCTTGATGTTCAAGGATGGAGGAAATCCGTGAGAAAATATTTCTGGCCTATTCGTAAGCCTAAAATGGATCATTACCTAGGCTTGGTCGAAGAGCAGAGATTGAGGCTTCAGCTCTTATTATTCACAGCCACAACGTAGGTTATCCATCCTTTAGAGCCCTGAGAATCCAACCTCTCCACTTCCCTTTTGTTTTCGTTTTCGCGGTAGGGCTAATTAGTTGCACAGGAAGAGGGTAACTAGAGTATTACGAAACCCAGATGGTACTTGGCCGCATTATCCCTAATCTGGTTAATTATCTTCTCTACTAATATCGAATATCTCGAATACCCTAGTCAAAGAATTCCGAGAGGTCATGAAATGGCTTAACGTCGTTGATCCAGCCTCCAATTTTTCTTATGCACTCGCTCTCCGTGAACCCGGAACGGGTAATTGGCTTCTTAAGGGACCCGAGTACATAGATTGGAAGGGTGGTCGAGGGGGAGTCCTCTGGCTTTATGGAATACGTAAGTGTACAGATAAGTGAAATTTTATGTTCGCGGAATGTGACTAATATTTGCATCTTGTAGCTGGGTGCGGTAAAAGTGTCCTAAGGTACGAACTCAGCAAGGTATCCAGAGGCAGAATATTATTTTCAGATCGCTAACCTTCTTTTTAGCGCTATCGCCATTGAAGATGTCAAAAATCTGTGCGCCGAGAAAGACGATCATGCACTAGCCTACTTCTACTTTACCTTCACCGACTCGGAGAAGCAAAATTTTCTCAACATGCTTCTATCGATCATTGGCCAACTACTGGAAGGCATTTCGGGCCATGGTTTCCCCAACGAGGTTATAGATCTATACCACAATTCCAAGGCAATTGGAAAGTCAACAGATATCGAGGCGCTGAAATCTGCATTTTTGCATATGGTAAAGCATTCCAAAAAGACATTTATCATCCTTGACGCCTTAGATGAATTTCCCAAGGAAACACGGGAGAGTCTCCTATCCTGGATTCGCGAACTTACCGTTGGTCACGACGCAGGATCGCTTTCCATTCTCATCACCAGTCGTCCCGAAGCCGATATAGAGAAATCCCTAGAACCACTTACCACTTTTTCAATATCGTTACAATCCAACATTATCGATCCGGATATCCGGTCATATATACGGAACTCCCTGGGCGATAGGGATGGTCTCAAGGAATTTACCAAAGAAATTAAGAGTGAGATAGAGGATACACTGGTTTCTCGTTCACAAGGAATGTATGTTATACTCAACCTCTATATTCCTAACTTACGCTGACACAAGGTTGAATATCTGAAGGTTCCGATGGGTGGATTGTCTTTTGCGGATTCTCCAGGAATGCATAACACCGGCAGCTGTGATAGCTGCGTTGCGGGAACTACCGGAAGACTTGGATTCTGTCTACTTGAGGATCCTCAATAGTATTCACGAGACGCAGAGGGAATACATCCGGCGAGCGATGCATTGGCTTGCATTTTCGGCAAAACCATTGACATTAGGCCAACTTGCGGAGGCTATTGCGATCGCGTCCGATGTCAACAAATATGGCAACGATTCGGAACCTCTTTCCAATCCGGAGTCCCTCATCAGCATTTGCCCAAGCCTTATTTCCTTTGAAGATGCCAGGACTGGTAAATCCTTCGACCAGGAATACCGCAAATTACGACTAGCTCATTTCTCGGTAAAAGAATTCTTGATCTCCGAACGGGCTGCCCAGGGCCCCAGTGCCTACTATCATATTTCGGAAGAGAAAGCCAATTTACTGATGGGGCACGCTTGTCTCAGTCGAATACTGCGACATAGTGTACAAGTTACTGTAAGTGGTGACGAAGTCGAAGAAACGCCATTTCTCCACCACAGTGCTCGCTATTGGTTCGTGTATATCAGATCCCTTGAGCATACGGCACCCACACCACTCTCCGACGCTGCGGTGAAGGTCCTCGAGCTTGGCAAGGAGTGGTTAGATATATATAACCCTGATGACCCTTACCGTGTTCGTACCTACGACTCCGGGATCTACCCACCGGCAATCTACTATTCCTCCTTGTTGGATTTAGTGACGGCCTGTAAATTCCTTGTCAATAGAAAAGTGGATACAGTAAATGTGAATACTCAGGGTAGCGAGTACGGGAACCCATTACAAGCAGCTGCATATCAGGGAAACGAATCGGTTGTGCAT